TAATTTTCTTCTACTGCAGGAGCTATGGCTATTATAAAAAGTTTTTTAACACCTGTTTCTAAAAATTGTTTTTTTTTCATTTGTATCTTTATTTTTAATGCAATACAGGGAAATACTAAACTTTAAAAATACCTGGCCCCCGTCTATTCCGAATTTAATATTAAAGGGTATAACATAATTTCTATATAACATCTGTGCAATACACTAAACTTCTTTTTTTCCATAAACTTTCATTGCCACTTTTAAAAAATAATAATTCTTTAACTTTAAAAAAAAAATTGTAATTTGTTTTTGTTTTTTCTTATGTTTACTAAAATATTTGGTTCAATAGAATTTTTGCCATTGGTTTCTCTTATTGTTGTTAATAATTTTTCTAATTGTCTATTACTTAAATTTAACCGAGTCTATATCCTTAAAATAGTCTTTTTTTGAAGATTTTTCTGTTTCTTATTATAATTTGCAGATTTAATTCCTAAATTTTTACTTAAATTTAAAATATTTTGTTTTTTTCTTGCTTTGGTGCACAAATGTTCCCTTCCTCTATGAAGTATACTAAAACAATGCTCACATATTTTGACTATCTTTTTTCTTTGACTCTTAATATTTTTATTATTTTTAAATTAGCATTGTTATATTGTTTTAAATGGTTATGCTTTCCTACTTTTAAAACGTATTCACTGGCAGTGGTACACAATAAACATTTGCATGGGCCAATATTATGTCTTAATTCATGTAGTGTATAAACTGTATAATTAAAAAAAGATATATTTACATCCTCTCTCTTTTTTTCTTATTTAAAATATTTTTACACTTGGAACAAAGTGATTTTGGAATTTTTTTATCATTTGGGTTATAGTCAATAATTTCTTCCTTTAAAATCGAATAAAGCGTCGCTGGGATTAATATTAAACTTGAATTTTTTTTAAAACAAACAAAACACAATAAATTTCGATTTTTTTCATGAATTTCTTCGTAACTTTTACAAAAAATTTTCATTTTTGTTTATAAAAAACTAAACAAAAATTATAGAATACGTATACTGAAAATGACAATTCAAACGTCAAATAAATTTTTAGTAGATCTAAGTTTCATGGCAACCTTTAAGGATATATTAATTCAAAGGTCAGATTAAAAGTTTGAACGTTTATTGCAACAAAACAGTAAAATATATAAAAAAAATTGTAAAAACCTTTTTTTTAGTTATGCAAATATTATTTATTTAAATTAAATCGCTAGTTTTAATTGGATAATTGAAAGAGTGCATAATATTTTTAATAAACAGCCAATTAAAACAATTAACAGGAATATAAAAAAATAGGTTTCACAGAAAGTCTGAAAATCACCTCTCAGAACAGCACCGTGTATATAAAAGTGCATTATTATAGGTAAAACTTCTTTGATAGATAGAGGAAGTATGTTGAGGAATTGTAGTAGTACCCTTATGCCTTAAATTTAGGTGATGTCAGTTCTAAATTTTATTTTGTTATGTAAGTATTGAGGTAGCTTGGTACTAATTATATTTTTGTAAAGTACAAGTAAATGTAGTACTCGCCTCTCCCTCATTCTAAGCCAATTTAACTGTTTAATTTTAGGTGAAACATGATCTCTGCGCTTAATACTACAAATAAAACGCACACAGATATTTTGCATTAATTGTATTCTGTTAGAATCCTCTCTAGTTAGACAATTACCATAAACAGTATCTCCAAAGTTAAAATGGGATAATACGCAAAGCATTTTTTTAGTTTCCAATCCAATTATTTGACGAAATGGAATAAGGAGTACCTATTAAATTTAAAAATGATTTTATGATACATAAGGAAATGTGACCAGAAAACCGCAATTGGTTGTTCAATATAATGCCTAGATTTCTGGCAGATTCAACAATTTGTAGTTGATTATTATTTATGTAAATCTTTACGTGCTCTTTACAGGCTGCAACTGAATGTTTTCTACCAAATAGTATAACTTGTGATTTCTCGGGATTAATATTAAGACAGTGCTTTTGAGATTGCTGAATTAAGGATTGTAAATCTTCGTTTACACATTGATTGGCTTTTAAAGTGTTTGACAAATGAAAAGAATAGTAAATCTGAGTATCATCAGCATAAAAGTGGTAACTGCAAGAATTGATATAACTAGGAAAATTGGACGTACAAATAGTATAAAACAGAGGTCCTAGTATTTAACCCTGAGGAACTCTACATTTTAAATAGTTTTTAAAATAATTTAATTTTTAACGCTTACAAAATCGCTGTTACTGAGCCAACTAAATTTAAATTTGTATTGGATCAATATTATTACCACAAAAATATCGTGTGAAAATTTCAAAGTGATATCTTTTCATTAGATTTTTTAATGAATTTTGGCCCCTTTTTTAGCCATTTTTGTTTGCACTTACGCGCGGCGCTTAACAATATTATTTATCATTAACCCAAAGGGGAGCACAAAAAATTTAAAACGGTTTCTGAATCTTAGGCGTTTAGACTTCCCAGTACTTGAAAAGTTTTCAATATCCGTGTAGAGAACAGGGCAAAATTGGCATTTATTTATTAAAAATTATATAAATTAGCAACATTGACAAATACCATAATAATAATACAGTCATTTGCTGGTACTTATGAAACCAGAATGGCCAGCTCAGTGGCGGCTTTACATTTTGCTTGAAAATGGGCCTGGTCAACTGTTTTTAAGCATGCGACCACTCAAATCTCTTTCTTCCTAGTTTGCGATGGTACAGCCGGCCGGGCCAAACCTTCCACTGGAGACGGTTATTGCTCATTGCATTTATTTTGCAACATCCTCTAAAATTTTCATCCATTTTTTTTAAATAAGATAATAATTGTTTAATCAAACGGTGCAAAAATATTTTTTATCGCAAAATTTTACTTTAGTAGACGCCTCGTTTGGCGCCAAGGTTTTACGTTTAACATAAATCACGGTGTGCTTAGCACTGATTCAACCCATGAACTTCTGCACATCTGAGATTTTTTCAAATTCTGTATCTGCATGACCTAGAATTATTTTAACAATAAAAATTAAAATTTTCGGCGGAGCCGTTTTTGAGAAATTCACTTTTGATTTTTTTTCTGCAAAATGTAGAAAAATAAATACAAATATTTTAATAAACGTTTCAAAAAATTAATTTGAGGTGATCTTACATATTTATCAACTAAAAGTCTTCATAATATGTAAAAACTTTTAGTCACTATAGTTATAACTACGATAAACTTTTACCGCAAAAATATCTAAAGATCATGCGTTAACGTATAGTGTAAATAGATTTAAAGTTGGTTTGTTTTGTTTTAAAAAGAAAAAGCCATGTTTCCAATTAAAGACAAATTAAAACTTGTTGTTTTAATTCTATTTGCGGATTATGATGTTGAGGAAGAAAGTTTGCCTGCAGCCGTATGTAGTTCCTGCAAGATTAAAATATATAAAGCATAACATGGTTCTGGGAAAATGGAAATGAAGCTACCCATTTTGTCTGATGATGAGAAACAAAAGAGAGCAAAACGATCCCAAGATCATCTTGGCAAGATGTTACAAAATGTAGTTATAAACTGTGTTAAATCGCTCGAACCGTACCGGCAAATAATGCTCAAGTAACACATGATTTTATACCAGAACAACACAAAAAAGAAATGGTTGTTTCTCCGTCGGTGAAAAAACGGTTTAGTGTCTGTTGTTTTATTCTAGCAAGAGGAAAACAACATGTTTGCAACAAAGTTTTTCGAGTGCAGAATATTTCTGGATACTTGTCAACCCTGGATGAAAAATTTCAAAGCAGGTAAGCGACGTCGCTTACTTTACGTTTAAGGGCACTTTAAATTACCTGGCTTTGAGATTTCTCATCCAGGGTTGACAAGTATCCAGACATATTCTGCACTCGAGAAACTTTGTTGCAAACAACATGTTGTTTTCTTCTTGCTAGAATACTGCCGTGCTAAGCCAAACCCCCGTATTCGCAATATTCAGTAATAAAGACCAACAGATAATTTTTATTGTTTTTAACAATGAAAATGATCTTTTGTACCTTATAACTCAATATTGTACATACGGAGATTTGGCTTATCAGGGCAGAATAGTACAACAGACACTACACCGTTTTTCCACCGACGAAGAAACAACAATTTCTTTTTTGTGTTGTTCTGGTATAAAATAACATGTTGCTTGAGCAATATTTGCCGGTACGGCTAGAGCGATTTGACACAGTTTATAACTACATTTTGTAACATCTTGGGATCGTTTTGCTCTCTTTTGTTTCTCATCATCAGACAAAATGGGTAGCTTCAGTTCCATTCTCCCAGAACCATGTTATGATTTATATATTTTAATCTTGCAGGAACTACATAAGGCTGCAGGCAAACTTTCTTCCTCAACATCATAATCTGCAAATAGGCTTAAAACAACAAGTTTTAATTTGTCTTTAATTGGAAACATGGCTTTTTCTTTTTAAAACAAAACAAACCAACTTTAAATCTATTTACACTAAGTATGCGTTAATGCATGATCTTTAGACATTTTTGCGGTAAAAGTTTATCGTATACGTATACTATAGTTAGTGACTAAAAGTTTTTACATATTATGAAGACTTTTAGTTGATAAATATTTAAGATCACCTTAAATTAATTTTTTGAAACGTTTATTAAAATATTCGTATTTATTTTTATACATTTTGCAAAAAAAATCAAAAGTAAATTTCTCAAAAACGGCTCCGCCGAAAATTTTAATTTTTATTGTTAAAATAATTCTAGGTCATGCAGATACAGAATTTAAAAAAATCTCAGATGTGCAGAAGTTCATGGGTTGAATCAGTGCTAAGCACACCGTGAAATACAAAAAAAATCGATTTTTGTTTTAAGAAAAATACTTAAATAATTAAAAAATAGTGTTTTTAAAATACAATGAATTCTAATCGATTGCTATAAAAATGCACTTCTAATGATGGATAAAGAGGTTAACTGGATATTTTCACTAATTAACATTTAATTTTTTAGAGGTTTTGAATGATGCTATATTTGATGAAGATCACGATGAAATGGTTGTTGTGAAGGATATTGAAATGTTTTCGATGTGTGAACATCATTTGGTACCCTTTTACGGAAAAGTTTCTATTGGATATTTACCCTGCGGAAAAATTTTAGGATTAAGCAAGCTGGCCAGAATTGTTGAGATATATTGCAGAAGATTGCAAGTTCAAGAAAGATTAACGAAGCAAATTGCAGTTGCTGTTACTAAAGCAGTGCAGCCAGCTGGTGTAGCGGTTGTAGTGGAGGGAACGTAAGTAAAAATATATACGAGTAAAATAATTATTGGACATTAAATAGTATATTATGTATCAAGTTTTATAAATCCAATATTAGTTACGAGTTTAATTAGAGCGAAGCTTGTGAGCAAGTGTTTAAGAAAAACGAATGTCTAGAGAAGTTTATAAACGAGTTGCATACTATACTTTATCTACGACGAATACATAACAGAATTTAAATTTTATTTATTAAAAATTAAAATCTATCAACTTTCACTCGAATTTTACATCACTTTTTCCCAATTTATAATAAAGCTAACTTCAGCCCGTGACTAAAACGCCATAAAGTCACAGCTCGTCAATGTAGGAGTGGATAAAATCTTTTATGGCTCGAAACCCTAAAAAATCCTCACCAAAACCCCGACACTTTATAATGACAATTTTTAGATTTTTTTGCCTGGGTCTCTTAGAAATGTAATTATTTCTAATTTCAAAGTTTCAGGTAATAGTGTTGACTTTTGAAAACGCAAAGAGATAAATATGTGCACTTTAAACCGTAAGATGGGTTTGCTACGAAATTTTTAAAATTTTCGGTCATCTGTCCAAAGTCACCCCACATACGGGGAGATTCTGGACAAGGTACGGGGTGCATTTGGACACTATAAAAATATTATAAATTTAGGAATTTTATTGAAAAAATCACGGATAACGTTTTCCGATACTGCCGTGCCGCCGAGATTGCGAAGGTGGCGTCTCTGTCCGGTGGATTGACGATGATGTCGTGGACTTCAATGGCATATTTCGGGTCGAGGACGCCGAGAACGTAGCCAAACTTGGTGGAGTCGGTCATGACCTTGGCTGCGTAAAAGCTGCGCTCTACCATGCTGAACCAAAGCTCCGGGTCGCTCGGCACGAAGGGCGGCAATCGAACGGCCACGCGGTCGACACTGGGGGCTAACGATTGCACCTGGGGGGCCGTACCGCGTTCTTTCGCGAATGCTTCTTGTTGTTGCCGCAACTCTTCTTGTTGTCCGGAGCTGCTCGCGTTCGCGCAATAGTTCAGCTCGCTCGCGTTCCTCGTTGTCACGGCCTAGCACCATTTTGTCACACAAAAAAACTTTGATATATTTCAGAAGAGTGTTATTGTTTTCACTACGCGCCCTGCACGTTTATGCACAAAATAAAAGTCACAAATGTTTACGATCACGTCGGGGTCACCAATTTGCGGGGGTTGTAGTGAGGTATTTTGCGTGTGAATTTAAACACTTGTGTTGATCGTAGTACGTTATTTATTTACAATGAAAATAGTGGTGTAACTTACAACAGCGTTTAAGTTGGATGTCGAGGCCCGATAGTTTGGAACTTAACTGAATGATGTCGACAGAATGGTCGAACTGGGTTCACTGAATTGAAATGACTGAGTTATTTTTTTTTGTGGCCATGAAACAATAGCTGGGGTCTTGCCCTAGCAAGGGTTGGGTCATGTGGACCCTTTGCCCTTACCCTGGAGTTACAGGAGATTGAGATTGGTTGATGTTTCATAAGAAACAAATACTGGAGAGGTGAGGATGGTGATTGGGGGGGAAGTATTGGGTCCGCCAGCGGCCATTACTTTATCTTGCAGGGGGATGGGAACAAACTAACTATAATAAGTTAGCTGCTCCCATCGTCTGCATTGGAGAGCCATGGTGATTTGTCCTGGAAGAAATTTATTTGTCGTTAGTAGAGGGGTGGGAGATCGAGACATGCTATTGAGTTTAAATTTAATTTAACTCAGCCTTTGAAATTTTGTAAATCTATTTATTTATTTATTTTAAAAATTTTACTTTTGTATTTTTAGAAAGTAGAATCTTTGTAGAATCTGACTATATATGGAGTAAGTTGTTGACTAATTTGATTAAATGATTTCTGAAAACTTGTTTTATGCATGTCTCGTCTCCCTTTTTTGACATATGCTGGATTGATCTTGGCAAAAGCAAAAGCTGAAGAGTTAGCAACAAAGTAAAAGCAAGGCAAGGGTAGAACAGAAAAAGGAGAAAAGGAGAGATTTAGGGGGGCCTCAGGTTGGAAATTGTCCCTCTGATGCCACGGTTTACAAGGAATCGAAAAATAAATACATATATAGGGTGATCCTTTGAAAAAAAATAAACTTTTTGTTTTTCCCTGTATACTGATAAATTTTTCAATTTTCCTTATACGTAGAAAAAAAGTATTTTTTAGTTCCTACATAACCACACTTTTAAATTTTTTGGGGCCCTTAAAATAAAAAAGTTAAAGGGGGGTGACATTATAGGGGATCACCCTGTACAAAGGAAATGCAGGCAAACCGAACGCGAATGAAAACAGAGGTTGCAATTAAAAGCAGATGTTCGCGGATAAAAGCAGGTATTTGCGGATAAATGCAGATGTTTGCGGATAAAAGCAGATGTTTGCGATTAAAATCAGATGTTTGCGAATAAAATCAGATGTTTGCGGATAAAAGCAGATGTTTGCGGATAAAAGCAGGTGTTTGCGTATAAAAGCAGATGTTTGCGGATAAAAGCAGCTGTTTGCCGATTAAAGCAGGTGTTTGCGGATAAAATCAGATGTTTGCGGATAAAAGCATATTTTTGCGGATAAAATCAGATGTTCGCGGATAAAAGCAGATGTTTGCAGATTAAAATAGATGTTTGCGGATAAAAGCAAATGTTTGGAGATTAAAACAGATGTTTGCGGATAAAAGCAGATGTTTGCGAATAGAATCAGATGTTTGCGGGTTAAAACAGATGTTTGCGGATTAAAGGAGGCGTTCGAGGATAAATGCAGATGTTTGCGGATAAAAGCAGATGAAATCGGATGAATCAGACTTTTGCGGACTAAATTAGATGTTTGCGGATTAAAATAGATGTTTGTGGATTAAAGCAGATGTTCAAAGATAAAATCAGATCTTTGCGGATATAAGCAGATGTTTGCAGGTGAAATCGGATGAAGCAGACTTTTGCGGACTAAAGTAGTTGTTTGCGGATGAAATCAGATGTTTGTGGATTAAAATAGATGTTCGCGGATGAAAGTAGATCTTCACGTATAAAAGCAGATGTTTGCAGGTGAAATCGGATAAAGCAGACGTTTGCGGATTAAAGTAGATGTTTGCGGATAAAATCAGATAAAACCGGGTAAATGCAGATATAAACCCAAATACAGGTATTTGCGGATGAAACCAGATGAAAGCAGACATAGAACTAAATAGATAAAACCCGACGTTTGCGGATAATATTTATACCCGCAATTACAGATAAAAACCGACTTGCCGGGTAAAATCAGATATGTCGAATGAAAACAGATATAAATGGACATAAAACTAGCTTGGTTTTTTATCCGCAATCATCCGATATTACCCGTCTTTTTCAGCAGGGTAGGCATATTATATTAAAAGATGGTTATATTTTTGAACTATTTCTCCCATTAAACTCAAACACCTCAAAAACTTAATTAAGTATATTTTATGTAAATTAGACATTTTTTTACAAAATTACAATTACAAAACTCGGGACATCCCTGTTGTAAATGACCGATTAATTTCTTATAGAAACTAATTAAAGTATTGGTTGGTATCAATAGGTCTGAATTGAACTTTAATTGGTAGCGATATAAAACAGAAATTGGTTTTTACTGCTATTTTACATGTTGGAAAAGTCCGATTAGGATTCTACTATTTTTAGTGATTTTGAGTGGTTAGGTAATTTCCAATTGAATTCAATTGGGCATTCCCAGTGTAAGATTCTAGAAAGGAATAATTGGGTATTTCCAATACTTTAAAGTATGGAAAAGTCCGATTATAATCTAATTATAATTATAATAATTATTATTCTACTGTTTTTTTATTGGTTTTGAGTGGTTAAGCTATAGCCAATACCCAATTGAATTCAATTGGAAATTACCTATTGGTATACCAATAGGTAATTACCAATTGAATTCAATTGGGTATTCCCAGTGTAAGATTCTAGAAAGGAATCTGCTAATTGATTATTTCCAAATTGAAAGCCCTCTTGCGATAAAGTATTGGAAATTCCAATACTTTATCGCAAGAGGGCTCTCGTGTAGCTGCGCAAAACCAACGTACGTAGTCATACAAAGAAAAGTCTTTGGACGCTATTTAATGTCGTTTTTTTTATTAGTCGGTTTCTTTTATAATCTATGGGTTTCTGTGCTTAGTGGTAGTTAAAAAATGTTTATATGTGTAAGGTTTAGGGACGATGGCGTGAGAATGGTGGTTACAGCGGACAAAATAAAAAATAATATTGATTTTGACCATGCCTACAAACATCCTTTCAAGAAATTTTATTTATTTGTCTTAAGACAAAAAAATTATTATATCTGAGTAATTTTATTTATTTTTAATTACTTTTTTGTGTTAGTAAGTTATATGTATAAATATCTCACTAACACAAAAAAATAATAAAGAAATAAAGTTACTCAGTTATAATAATTTTTTGTCTCTTCTGTGAAAAATGAATTCTGGTTTTTACCCGGTTATTCTTCTGGGATCTTAATTATTTTTGAATGAAAAATCAAATGGTATTTTTAATCCAAATTTAAAAAAATAAATTGGTTCAAATTGGTTTGAATGGGTTTTTTCTCTATGAATTACCAATTCATTCCAGGTGCATTTCTATTGGATTTAGCCAATAGAGACAAGCATAAGTATGGATTGGTATATTCCTATTTAAGCCGCTGACTTCATTGGAACTTACCAATAGGAATGCAACTGGAATGAATTGGTGATTCATAGCGCCAAAACACATGTCAAACCAATTCAAACCAATTACTTATTTTTTATTGGATTCTATCGGTCATTTACAATAGGGATATTATTTGTATTTGTATTTTTCTATATGAAGCGGCAATATATGCCCAATTTGGTTGAATTTAAGATTAATTTTGATGTGTATTGTCGCGACCTGTCGAGGTAAAAAACTTTTTTTAACAGTTATTTTTTTCTTCGTTTACTGGCATGTCTTCTGAAAAATTCAATGGGGGTACGTAAGCAGGGCCGTAGCCAGGGGGGCGAATTATGGCGCCGCCCTGACAGGCAAAACTTTTGCCCTGGCAGAGAATTTGAAACTAATTTAAAATTTAATATAGCAGTTTGAGAAATAATTGTCTTCCTGCACAATAAAAACTATCCCTAATATTTTGTAAAACTGCAACTTTGTATATGGGTCATTTCACGCCAAACCAACCACTTTTAAACTAAAATTTACCCACTAAAAAGTTGATGTAAATTTCTTTAGAAAAAAATGAATTCGACAATTTTTAATCTTTTTATTTTTTTCCAAACTTTGATTTATTTTCCCATAGTGGACTAACTTTTTTTTCTATTTATTTAGATTAGAAAAAAATAGGAGAAAAGTTGACCCACCATAGGAATTGCAGCATTAAAGCAGAATAAATTAAAGTAAAATAAAATAATGGCGTAGGTAGATACTTTGAAAAATGTATTATTTTTCTTCGAAAAACTCACACATTTTATAAAATAGGAGTTTTTGTATTTTTTCTAAAAATCAACTTTATAAACGAAAAGTCATGCACTATTTTTTTTTTAATTTTTAGTTGGGTAAAATTTGAATAAATTTAAATGAAAAGGATTTAAAAGTTTCCGATTTGGCGTGAAATGCATGGTGCATACATATCTAAATGCTCATATTATCGTAAGTAATATCATAAGGGCATCTAATTTTTCCGAAAAAAATCGAAAAAACACGTTGCTAAGTAATATTTTAACAAGATGCATGAGTGCTGGTGGCAACAAAAATCCGAGTCGAAGAGGAGGATTTTTGCACCTGCACGAATGCATTTTGTTAAAAAATATTACTTAGCATTGTGTTTTTTCGATTTTTTTCACAGGAAAAATTAGATGCCCGAATGGTATTTGACAAGACTATTTCATGAGTAACAGTTAACAATTAAAATATAAATTGCAATTTTTGGTGACAGCAGCTGTCAAGTTTTGCCGCGGGTAAACTCGAAAAAACTGCTGACAGGTGCTGTCACACAGTTTTTTCACCTAGAAACCATTTGTAATTCAAAATTGCGCGTTTGTCATTGGTGGAAATTAAGACGAGGGAAATAGTCGATAATAATTTACAAAATCACCCAAATGGTTGTTTTTAAGAAAACAGATTTCCAATTAAACTTTGTTGTCTTTGTTGAGCTTGACCCTAGTAGAAATTTTACGTTACCTATATGACAACGTTAGTTTCTAATGTATTATAAAACCTTGTTAATACGTGGGATTTATGTAACGTTTTAACTACGTTTTTACCACATACAAAATTCCTACGTTGTCTGAATGTAGATAAACGTTATTTTTTACCAGAGTATAGTATTTTTATAAACAACAACGTTTAAAAAACCAACTAAATTATTATTATTTCGTTATTTAATCAAAAAAAAAACGTCACTTTGTCAAAATTTCATGAAAGTTAGTCTAAAAATAACATAGATATTGTGTTTGTTTCAACTTTTTAGATTATGTAATGTAATAAGATTTAATAAATTTTTGAATGTAATATTTAAACTAATTTACAATTTTAGGCACATGTGCATGGTAATGAGAGGAGTGCAAAAAATCAACAGTAAAACTGTTACTTCTACTATGCTTGGGGTATTTAGAGATGATCCAAAAACCAGAGAAGAATTTTTAAACCTAGTACAATCTAAATAAATTAAAGCTTTACATTTGTTGCAATGCACTAAATGCACTAAATGGTTCAGGCTTTCTCATACGGATAGGAATTATATCCTAGGATTCATCATTTTTAAGTATCTTTTTTATGCTTGTTTAATTATTTTTTAAAGTTTTACTAATTTGGCTTATTGTGGCGGATTTAATAAAAACTATTCAAATGGTAAAAGCTTATTTATTATTTAATCTTGTGCCTGAACTGAATTTTGTCTGTTAGAGGTTTTCTCATTTCCTTTAATTAATATATTTCCGCCTTACATCCAATTTTTCCTTTGTATGTTTTCTAAGTCTAAAACCATATTCAGTGTAGTGACAATCACATTTATTACAATAAAGTACTATAAAATATATAATTAAATTAAAAACTACACTGTTTTTAGAGATTCACGAGTTGTTAATTACCTAACAATTGTTTAGTAGTAACAGTATTTTTTTTTAGAATCAGTATTGGTGTAGTTTTTAATTTACTTATAGACCTCCACCCAACTGTTAATCTGCCACTGCTTATTTCTACATACATGTATAATAAGACTAAATATAGTAAATAACATAGTATATAATTTATCAATGTGTGGCTTGTTTCTTCATTCTTTGTTTTTTTACGTATTGTCGAAAAAATAAGACCTTTATATGGAAAGAAATAGATAAAGGCTAAACATTTTGGGGCCAGCTTAGTTTCAATATTTTAAATGTATGAAAGTTTCATATTAATTAGTACCGTGAGTGGTTTATTAAATTTCATAAAAAAATGTAATATTAGATTATTTTTTTCGTATTTCAGGTAAAAATTGTAATTGAAAATCCCCCAGGGGGGGTTTGAATACTCAAAACCCCCCTTGCGCATGGGCCTGGTGCCGCGTGATTAGTTACAAATGTTTTCAAAAAAAAAATGTATAATTTTCATGGACTATTTTATTTATAAATTATATACTTATGTACTTAATATAAATGTTAAATAAGATATTGTATTTGTTATATTTACAAAGCGTGTCCCAATAAAACTGCATTAAACTTAAATGGTTCATCATATAATATTAAAATATAATGTAAAAACTCATAAACCTGTAAAGATGGCATGTTAATATTGTTCGCTAATCTTAAAAATAGTGTAAATTAATTTAATTTGTGTGTACACACCTTATAAGGTTGTTGGAATATTGTTTACCATTACCATTTACTATTTATGTATATCAAATTAGATTTTTATTAAATGGAGGTTCCTAGGTATATTTGTTAATTAAGTTTAACAATTATATTATGATTTGTTATAAAAGCATACTAAAACAGAAACAGTCTGCAAACTCCTGCTACTTGAGATAGGCTGGCGGAAGGATTGTCCCATATCTTTCCAATTATCACATACTTTTTTAACAATTTTACAATTTGCAAAAAATAATTTAAATTAACTACAAACTTTCAATCTTTGCTCTGAAAAATTGTAAAATATGAGATAGGTACGCCCTTATGTGATAATTGGGACGATATGGCTATTCATGCATGCCTGTTTTTCGCATTGTAGAGGTTTTACCGGTAATAAAAGTCTATTTTTATATTGTTAGTTTATTGTATAAAATTTGTTTATTTACTTTTTGAAAATTATAGGATGTACCTATACCCCAATATTTTGATACCAAAATTACAAATACATTTTAATCTTCCCATTCTTTTTATCCATTATTTATATTTGTTCTTTGAACAAGGACAGTGGTAAATAAATAATATATTATATTAGGTATATGCATATAACAAAAAAAAATTAATATGTGCTTAAGGGGACCCCTAAACCTCTTTAAAAATCCGGCACTGCCCATAAATACCTTAATGAAATAAAATAACATATTTTTTAGCAAATTTATATTTGGACCAATTTTAACACTAGATTCTTACTATTTATTCGGCTAATTCCAAAGTACATTCCTTCTGTTCAAAAGGATCAACTAAAAAAAATAATTATTTATTAACAATTTATTTTTTCCCAAAGTTTTTCACAACCCCAACCTGGATCGCCTGTATTCCTTTGTTGCAGCACGTTGAGAATCATCTATGATCATTTATGGTATGGGCTCTTTTTAAGGTTTTTCCGCTTATCCATGTCCATTTTAAACTTGTAAATCCATATTTTACGATAATGCATTGAATTTTTATTTGCCACATGAATCAAGTTAGCAGCAACCGATTGTTAAAGCTTTACATCAATAACTGAAGTTAAATCTTTAGTGACTTTACATATGTACTGTAAATAATAAAAAAAAATAAAAACAAATGCACATTTGTGCTGCACTGTATCAATGGGATGTCTAGATACTTTTCGAACAGCCGGTATATGTAACGAAATTTATTTTTTATGTAGAAAGAGGAATCTTTCTTTATTTTAATAAATTTTCATTTGTGATGGTAGAGTCTCTGGACCAGTGACAATCAATAGATAGGGATTTTCAATATAAAACCTAATTTATTGATTACATGTCATGTACATAAACTGAGTAAAGCCGAGACTATTATTAAAAATTAAAAAATCTTTGATTATATTTTTTTCTATTCACCCAAATGAATTATTTATATTTACGAATTATTCGTATTATACTGGTGATTATGTATAATGTGTAGGTACTTATTTAATTTTATAGAATATATTTAAATTTAAATTATATTAGGTATAGAAGTATTTAAATTAAGGCAGCAGTGGTCACAAATTTACTTGATTATTTTGTTTTTAAGTTTTTACCCGGCAAGTTATTATCAAGTTAAAGCATTTAAGCTTAAAAAAAACTCTACATCGCTGCAGCACATGTCTAAACTATGTTTCTTCCAGCTCTCTGTAAAAGCGTTGTAGAAAATAGAGTCTATTTTCAACAACGCTTTTACAAAGAGCTGGAGTAAACATGGTTTAGACATGTATTTTTTGACAGCTTGGAATTTTTTTTATTCTTTTAATAACACCTACACCGTAATTTACCAACATAATGAACATTATTTATATTTCAATTGGATACATAAATACTAAAATCTATTTCCAACGCTCTTGCCCTTATTTAAGTTAGTTTTAAATTAAATTTGTTAAATAGTTATTTACAGTTTATAAACAAATGATGGGACCATAATTTATTTATTTTTATATACTTATAAAAACCTTACATTCATGTAAAGGCAAATTAAAATGTATTATAAAAAGAACTGTGATTTACTTCCCTTTTCGCAATCCCTGACAGATTTGATTTCCAATCAAATTTTTTTAAAAATAAACATAATAGCCTTATTATTTTCAGTCTAAAGGTTACCACTGGTATGTACCTATTTATATGTGTTTATGAGTTTAAATAACTTTAATATTGTTTTTAAATAACTTTAATAATTATCCATAGCCTGAAACCCCAACAAATTAAAATTTTATTAAAGTAAGTTAAAAATTAAATTATTTTAAAAACTATTTCAAATAATATTTTAAAACCTATCACCAGTAACATATATTTTTACTAATAATCCCAACTATTATAAAATTTTAATTTAATTGAATCAGTAAAGGCAATTTTGTACTGGTTTGAATTGAAAAATCTTGTAAAAATAAATTAAAAAATACGTGTTTAAAGTACTTTTCGCCAACGATGTTGGCATCTTAAGTAGCGAAGTTTAACTAAATCTAACCGCTAAATCTACCATATTTATACAAATATTAGAAATATTCCCCAACACCAAAACAAATCACAAAGTGTTTAAAGTACTTTTCGTACTTCCTAAGCGAAGTGTAACTAAATCTAAATGCTTAATCTACCATATTTATACTAATTATAAGCTAAGGTTGACTGGACCGTAAACAGACACAGTTTACTAAACCCTGGACCGTAATCCCTTCAGTGAACACGTAAAGAGAAACAAACAAACTAATTTATACAAACTAGAGTTGGGTACCGGTCCGTTATCGCTATTTAAAGATGTATTTCTATTCTTATAGATGTATAAACTTGCATAACTATCTAGCAAACTTAGTTGCCTAACTTCCTTAATAAGTTTAAGGTTGTCAAATCCAATTCTTTGACCATCATCAAGTATAAAGCCAAGTCTACAATTGTCGCAGGTCGCAGATCGCAGAACATAAGCTTGCGCAAAGCACCCAGCTGACAAAAGAACCTTGCTCCATCGCCACGTCACTTTGCGCAAGCTTATGTTCTGCGACAATTGTAGACCCGGCTTAATATGTTATGTTGGGCAACACTCGATTTCTCAGTCCTACCAAATTTAGCATGGGCCAAGTGCTCTTTGAACCTTACTTGGATGGATCGTTTAGTTTTTCCAACATATTTCTTGTCACAATCTTGACAGTTTATTTCGTAAATCCCCGACTTTTCAACTTTAGGAATCTTATCTTTGGGGTGTCCTAAAAGGGTCTAAAGTGTGTTACTGCCTGAACTAAAAAAAAATTTCAGTCAAGTTTTTATAAAATCCATTCCAGACCACGGGTGTACTGGGGTTCGAAAGAAGTAGTCATAAACTTGTAAGTTACTTTTTCCCTATTCCCACCCTGTGTCATAGGATCCCGATCCAAATGATTTAATTAACGTAAGTCATAAACAACCCCGGAATAGCCCATATGTAGCACTACCACCGGAATGACCCGTATGGTAGTCTAAGCACACAGCAAAAAGTAGCCTGATTGTTTACTTGTGCCCTTCCCCGAAATCCTATTGCAGCGTTTTTTTTACGAAACTCGACAACGAGAGTACCGCCGAACCATAAAATTTGCAACAAAGCTAACCTTAACATGATTGGCCAATCCTGACATCATGATTGAGAAGCGCTTATCCCGCCATAGGAGGGAGACCAGAGGGCATATAAGCGGGAGCAGCGCCTCCAAGCAGGGATTACTTCTGCAGTAGCCGGGACAGCGAGTGAAGTGCCGACCGACCGACTTCAGCCAAAGATAACGTAAGTTGTTGTAACTAATCTTCTGTTTGTTTGTTTGTTTCAGAAATTCCACTTTTATTTTCGTATTATTCATTGTAAAGTCATATTCCATTTTATTTATAATTTTATTGTTTTGTACATACGAGGGCTTATTTTAATATATGTATTAACCGAACCACACCATTTATTCATAAATTCCCCTGAACCCTAAAAGCTACCCTCGCATACAGTGGAACTTCAACCACTTTAAACCCATTGAAGTTGGCGCCCGAGATTTTATTAGAAAGTCAGCAAGGTAGTGACGCCAAGCATCAAAAGGAAAGTTTTCGCCCGGGAAATAAAACCCTTTT